TTAATCTCAAAGTACTGTGGGACACAACTGGGAACAGATCTTAGTGCTACTTTTTAATCTCAAAGTACTGTGGGACACAACTGGGAACAGATTTAAGTGCTACTTTTTAATCTCAAAGTACTGTGAGACAAAACTGGGAACAGATCTTAGTGCTACTTTTTAATCTCAAAGTACTGTGGGACACAACTGGGAACAGATCTTAGTGCCTACTTTTTAATCTCAAAGTACTGTGGGACACAACTGGGAACAGATCTTAGTGCTAATTTTTAATCTCAAAGTACTGTGGGACACAACTAGGAACACTTTTACCTGAGGAAGCTAAAATATGTTGTAACAAACTTATTCAAAGTTGAATATTGTTGTATGCACAAAACTTCTGTTGGTTAATAAAAGTGGAACAATACCAAAGTGGTTTTATAAGAAGCTATACTTTGTATATGAAAGTATCAATTAGAAGTGAAGGTATACATTTTCTTAGTTATCTTTTATTCTTTTTAAAAGAAACAAGAAAGGCTCTATCAATTTTAAAAACTTTTAACTTTTTGTCAATTCATAGTTTACTTACCCGACTGAATACCAATTGAAACTGCATTTGTGAAAACTGCTGCAACCATTATATTTTGGAACACAGAACCTACAGAGGCAGTGAAAAAAAAACAACAACAATCAAAGGAAGAAACAAGCCATAATTTATGCATGGTACATGAGTTTTATAAATATCTGGTATACTACCGAGAAAATAAGTCTTAAAAATGTAAGAGGGTTTCACTACTTTCTTGTCATGTTTCATTAAACATACCCATAAACTTTTTGCCATTATACAAAACTAAATAATGTGGTTGAAGATAATGAATTCACAAGGCTATTTTGTCATTTTACTTCTTTATAGTCACTTGGATTACATTATAAAAAGAATGTAAGATTCAAACTGAAAATTTGCATGTAAAAAGCTTTAGAGAGAACATGCTTCAAATAATCTAGGAACAACTTGATTTCTTTCACTTGAGAAGAATCTCATATTGGGACGATAGAGAATTATGTAATTAAAATCATTATCAGTTTCACTGTTCTGTACTATCATGCTTTAAACATCATATATATATATATATACATATATGTGTCTTACTTTGATGCTACGCACCATGTCATAAGTGTATCTGGTTTTTTTAATTTCCCACCTTTTCCTTCATAGAAACAAGTCTAAGTAAATCGTGCCCAAGGACAAGAAAATTCTAACACAATATTTGAACAGATTAAATATCACAAATGTGCAATTTTTTACATAAAAACAAAACTTTTAATAGCTATTTTAAGTTGAAGAGTTAGTTAGTTTTTTTTTAAATGTCTTATCTCTATGTATCTATGTTTACACAATTAAGAGTAGATTAGTTTAAAATCATGACTCTGTTACAACAAATAGTTTGACTACAATATGCAAGAGAAAGTGGAAGATCAATTCATTTTTTGTTACGTATGTGGGAATGTTCTGCAAGTCTCTATAAAACATGTTTATAAACCATTTGAGTCTCTATAAAACATGTTTATAAACCATTTGAGTTTCTATAAAATATGTTTATAAACCATTTGTGTCTTTGAAATAAACTGCAAAGTTGTCTGTAATTCTTTATTCAATCTCCTAAAACAAAACTGTTTAACATTTGCAACCAGGAGTTGGATTGACAGTTAAAAATGAATCACCACTGAGTTACACTGAACAAAAATATGATAAGATGAATTAAAACATAAAATGAATGCAATGGAAGCGGTGTTAGTTTAGCGTGCATTTGTTGTTTCAGTTAGTCTTAGGCTTCTCAACAAAAATCAGTACAATTCTATTCTAGTTTTAGTTAATAAATTTTATTTAGTCACAGTCTTAGTCTCATTCATTTAATCAACTCCTGAGTCAATGAATAAGTTAGTCACTTAGTCTATAGCCAAGAATTTTATCATCTTGTATTCCACATGTGCAGTGATAAAAGTAAATATTATATGTGTAATAGTGTTTTGCTATTCCAAGAAAATTCCAAAACTTTACATATAACAATGTGTATTTTATGTCTTTCTGGAGACCCATGTTTCTTTCTGTCATATGACAATATCTGTTCCTCTTTATGTATGGCATTAGTTGTCTATCCATATACAGTCTCATGTTTATACTGATTTTAAGTAAAACCTAATAGACACCT